GCGAGGCCTGAGCTCAGATTGTAGTGGTGAGGCGAGGCCTGGGAGATCTCGGGAGTCTTGGTCTTTTGGGTGGGGTGGGCGGGGCACCTCACCTGCCCCTGCCCCTCCCCGTGCCGGGGGCGCCCCCCCCCCCCCCCCCAGGCCGAGTAGGGTCAGGAACAATAAGCACCGGGCACGGTTTCAGGCGCGGGGTAGATGTTGAGTAAACGTGTCTTGGGCCCGACTGTGAACTCGAACTTTTCATTGGGGCCCAGAGCAATCCTCCGTGGTCCCCACACAGGGTTGACTTGTCTTCCCTCAGAGGCTTATCACGGGACCACCAAGCACCTAGCCCCAAGGCGCAGGGCACACGAGCACGTCCCCACAAGAGCAGAACCGGGCCTGGTGTGGCAGTCACGGGCCCACGGTCTGGGGAGGGAGCTGGTCAGGCAGCTCCCTGTGGGCGAGTTACAGATGGAAAGGAAAGGGGGTTGCAGAACTGCTTTGCCCCAGCTGAGGGAACTACGGGAGCTACAGGCTGTGTGGGGGAAAGGGGGGGAGGGGGGGGAAGAGCACCGGGGCAGGGGTGGTGCCGAGTTCGCCCCGTGGGGAGACTGCCTCCCTCCCCTCTCCGCCCGTGTCCTCACCGTGGGAGGGGGCCACCCGCGGACTCGGGATCCACGCCCGTTGAGGCACGGGTTCAGGGAACCCTCCTCGGGTCCCTTTTGGGTCTTGGCCCAAGTCCTTCCACGCCTGAGGCTCTGCCAAGGGGCCGGCGCGGACGGCCGTCGGCGGGGCAGGCGGACGCCGGCCGTGCGAGGGGCACCCAGTCCCGTGAGCTCGCCGGACCCGCGGGGCTGCGGGACCGCCGGGAGGGGAAGGGGCTCCAGAGCTCACCGCCCCCCCGCCGTGCCTGCAGAAAGAAGGGGAGTTCACGCTGCACAGCCGGGCCATCCTCGAGATGGAGCAGTACATCCGGGAGACGTACCCCGATGCCGTGAAGACCTGCAACATCTGCCACAGCCTCCTCATCCAGGTACCCGTGGGCCCCGTCCCCGCACGAGCAGACCCAGGGCGTCCGAAGGGTCTGGGGCCACCGCGACAGCGCCCGCCTTGCCTCCTCTCGCCCCGGGCCCCCCGGGTCCAGTCCCGGGGCGCGCTTGGTTTTATTTTCCCCCGGAAGGGCTCTCAGGAGCCTGGCGTAGCCCGCGTGGCCTGGCAGTGGCGTGGCCGGCGTCCTGCCACGTCGGGCACTGTTCTGTGTCGCGCTGCCCGCCTGGCGGGGCACGTTCGGGGCTCCTACCCCCCCCCCCCCCCCCCCCCCCCCGTCTCTCTCTACGGTCGGCAGCTCCGCTCCCGTGAGCCTCTGTGCACCTGTACCCTGGGCCGCCTGGTGATTATTTCCCTGGGCCGAAATTTCTGGAACAGAGTACACGGTTGTTGTTTTGTTTTTTTTTTTTTAAGTTTTATAGTTTTATTTCTTCGAGAGCGAGAGAGATGCAAGGCGGAGGGGCAGAGAGGGAGAGAGAGCGAGAATCCCAAGCAGGCTCCAGGCCGTGGGCACAGAGCCCGACGTGGGGCTTGAACCCACGAACCGTGAGCTCGAGCCCTGAGCCGAAACCAAGAGGCGGTCACCTAACCGACTGAGCCACCCGGGCGCCCCCCCCATTCCCCCCACGTGTTTTCGTAAAGCCTCCGACCCACGTCCAAACAGCCGGAGGCGTGAGGGCCGCGTGCACCGGGACCCCGCGTTTCTGAGGTGGCCTGGCCGTGCCGCTGCGCTCCGGCCTGTAGCATCCTGAGCGGCCTCTGCCTGCATGCGTGCGTGGGACTCTCTAATAAAAGTTCCTAGAAGCCCTCGTGCTGAGGGCCTCGGGGTCATCGTCACCCGTCTGTGGCCCGAAAGACCGCACTCCGGAGCCTGCCGGCCGTCCTGCCCGCTGATCGCCAGAGGCGCGCGTGCCCGTCGAGGGGCGCGCAGCCGCTCAGCCTCGCCTTTCTGGTTTCAGGGGCAAAGCTGCGAGACCTGCGGCATCAGGATGCACCTGCCGTGCGTCGCCAAGTATTTCCAGTCCGCCCCGGAGCCGCGCTGCCCCCACTGTAACGACTACTGGCCCCACGAGATACCAGGTTCGCGTCCCTCAGGCGCTCGGGGGCAGGGCGGGTGGGGGACACCCGGGGACGGGGAGCCCTCAGCTGAGGGCTCCGCCCGGGTGGGTCTGTCCGCGGGTCCCCGGCCCTCCAGGGGAAGCCTCTCCCGCAGTAAGCAGACGCCTGTGTTCGCGCACGCCTGCAGGGGCCCTCAGAACGCAGCGGAAACCCCCTGGCTCATGAGGCTCATGAGGGTCTGGTCTAGACGAGACCCCCCCACCCCCGGCCCCGCCCCCAGCAGCTGCGTGCGGGTGGGAGGTGAGGGCGGTGCCCATCCCTCCCCGGCCGCGGTGCCGGGTCAGCAGGGCATGCCGAGGCCGCCACCTGCCCTGCCGCTCACGGTATCTTCCGGCCTCTTCCGTGTACAGAAGTCTTCAACCCCGACAAGGAGCGGGAGGCCGGGACCTCCAAGGCGAACAAAAAGCCCTCGCGGTCCAGGCAGCACTAGCTGGCGGGCCCTGTTCGGAAGAGAAGCGTCAGCGTCTCCTGTCGCACCGAGTTCCCTTGCTGCTTCGTGTTCGCTGGTTAGCAGGTCTGGAATAAAAGTTGCTAAGGAGTCGTGGCTGCGGCCTCAGTCTGTGGTTGTGCGGGTCGTGCGCCCCCGGAGGAAGCTTCACGTCGTGGCCCTTCCCTTCCTGGGCTCCCCCTTAACTGAGAGCCCGCCTGGGGGGTTCGGGAGCGTCAGGCAAGTAACGGAGAGCGTCCCCACCGACTTAGAGAAGTTATTTCTTGGGACGTAAGAGGAAGCTTGTGGAGATGACCAGAAGGCAGGAAAACCAGCGGAGAAAAGACCGACCTTGGAACCGGGGGCCTGGAAGGGCTGGGCAGTTCGGACAGCCCCGCTGCCTGCCTACCTGGCCAGGTGCTTTGGCC